CTCCCAACATTGTTGGATGTTACATGTTGCGTAGGTTTGTACACCCTGTTGCATGTTGTTGCGTGTTGTTGGAAGGTCTTGCGCAAAGTTTGAAACCGGTCAAACTTTAAGCTACGTGCAAGCGGACGCAGCATTGTTGGGAGTTGTTGGCAAACAATGTTGCGTCCGTTTGCACGGGGCTTAACGCAGCACTGAACTCATTGGGCGGGGTAAGGGGGGGGGGAGAGTTCTCTTCTTCCCATAGGGGTCACGTCTCTATGTGGTCGCTGGATATGTACTACCCTGCCCCCCGAAGTCCGTTCTCGAAATACCTACGATGAAATACGCCGTGCTTTCGGTTTGATAAAGCTCCCGAGACGGAAATTGGAAAAGAAATCAGAAATTAGGAGGAAAAAAAAACCTTTGGCACCCAGGGTAGACATGTGCATGGTCTATATTGATTTCTCGCAAAGAAACAGCATGATATGTACTTTGGGTTTTTTTGTTCATGGTCCTAAACAGGGTTTTAAAACAGCTGAGTTTGTTTGAAGAGGGGAAAGGGAGGGAGGGGGTGGGGGGAGGGGGGGATCACGAAGCTGTCAGAACTTGTTGTTAAATAGACCATTTTACAGTCCTGGGCTTTCAAAGGATGTGAGATGGAGGATGACCCTCCTTTGATAGGTACAAACTTCCTTTCTTTCCTTATGAAAGCTATGCTTTTAAAAAGTTCTAGTTAGCTGAAGAAAAACATGATCTATCTAATAAAGGCGTAGGAAGGTTTGTAGCAAAGCCAGGTCGAGTCCAGCCTTTTTACATCTATAACTGTAAAATGGGCTGTTTCCAGACTAAACAATAGCTGAATGATCGGTCAAATATGTCCCCAACCCAAGGCTTTTTTCCCAAAGGCCTGAATGAATAATGAGGCTTCTGAGAGCTTATAATGGCTCCAGGTTGAACGGTGCGTATGCGAGGGTTCTTACCAAAACCCGTTGGCTATCACGTACTTGTTTTTGATAAAAAAGAACATCCACCTTTGTGTAGTTTTTTTGTAGTCCATTTGGACAGAATTGACAGACGGACGGACAGCCCGGCGGACGGACGAACAGACGGACGTTTTGTTGTAATTTGGTTTTCATTTTACGTGTTCGTTTTTCTGGCGTGCGGAACCGTCGGTTTCTCGCATACTGCTTTTTTCGGGATAGGGCTGGCAGTTCAGAGGCTAACAAACAGTAACCACCCTGGGGAGGAAACAGCCCCAGCGAGGCCGCCTTGAAGCAGTTTCTGACAAAGAAAGCTCTTCGGTGTTCTTTTTGTCCGACAGGGTTGTTTTCTGAAGTGCGGCTGTTTTGTAGTGTACCATGTGACTATTTGTTTTTCTTATTCAACTCATAAATCGGAAAGATAATAAAATCTCTAATCACCATAAAGAAGGAGGTCTGGAAATCAGATCTTAATTATCATAAAATATATTTTGTCTGTAAGAATTATTGATAATTTGAGAAGCTATACTAACCCTGGGAAGAGTGTTTCGTTCGGTGTCTAAACACCTCGAAACAGTTTTTTTTTCTAAAAATGGACTGCACCTCGTTTTCTCGACTCACATGGTGGTGTTTGGATATGCCGTGAAACACCCCTTCTAGTATTTGATCAGGAACTTGATATATATTGCGTTACATCGTTATAGCCGGAGATGTCGCCCGTGGATGTGCTCAGCTGTTATCAACATCCCTGACAGTAAAAATTGATGGAAAAAAAAGAAAAAAAAAGGAAAGAAACTGGGGTGTTTTCTTTCTTTCTTTTCTTTTTTTTTTTGAAAAAAGAACTTAGCTCAAAGACCTGTTCTTGATTTTGGCAAATCGCTGGTGGGATGTGCAATGACTTCCATCAATGATACATCGTTACCGGACTTATTTTTCTCTCTTTATCACATTTGTCGCTGCTTTTAATTATAGGTTTATGTACGGCATTTTCACTATCAAACTCTGGGTCGAAAAGGGGAAGTAGTTTCTGTTAATAACCCTCAGACATTTATTTATCATAAACGTTAACTTCGTCTGTATAGAAGAGCCATTGAAAATCCTTTCTAAATAGAACAGGCTGCTTTTTAAACAAACGCTGGTTTCCCAAGACCAAGATAATTTGAAATTATTTGAAGTAAGTGAAAAAATACGGTATTTTTCCAGTTTAGTTTGCACGGCTCATCATGTTGTGTGAAATATACATAATCCCAAAATTCGGATTTGAATCTGTTCTGTCAATCAGTGGCTATTCATACTGGTTACCGCAGTTGATATATCAGTGCAATTTTAAAATTTTTTTATCGATCAGCTATTGTATAACCAATAGTGTACTTAGCGTTTAAAATTCACTTACCTGGGTGAAATTTAAGGAGCGGAATCCCAGAGAATCGTGAGGAAAAAAAACTCGATGTAATTCTGTGTTGTAGAAAATAGTATGTATACAATTTTGCGCGATATTGCTTTCCAAAGATTATTGCGTTCTGCTTCACAAAAGCTTAAAATATTCATGCTCTTCGCATCATCCTGTCTTTATATTAGGATCATTTCAAATGCTAATGACCACATTTGATCATATTCACTTTAGAAATGAACATTTGTTGTTCGCAAATTTAAAACTTCCTCTTTTTTTTACACAAAAAGAGAATTTATTAAAAATTAGGTGAAAAAATATATAAAAAATCAATTATTGCTTTCATATGAAACACTGATGAAATACTATGAAATACGTACTTAACAACGTAAAAGTATTTTAAAAGAAATAGTGGCATCATTTGCTAAATTGACACTTAATTGCGCTGCTTAAATTACCTTCACCTCTAAACAAGAACTTTTTCCGACTCATTTTGCTGTAGTTCATATGGTTAGCAAACGACCTTTTAGGTACAGAATCAGTCAGTATTTGTCGAAACACTTTGTCAAAGTATTTCATCGACAAAATTTGAAGGAAAAGGAGGGTTTTTCTCTTCCAGCTTGGTACTTTTGTCTGAAATCTTTTTGTAAGTACCAAGAAAGATATTTGCTAAATGTATTTTTAAACCTGTTTAAGACCGGTCTTTTATGTTTCCTTTATATTCGTCAATGCAGCAATCAGCCTGGCTGCTTCTCACCTGCTTTGAATAAATTAGGCGTGACGTAGTTGTCTGAAGAACACTTCAAAACGCTGATTCCAGGAAGAAAAACAACCCGGAAGTTGTACTAAGCGAGGCTTAGGAGCCCTTGAACTAAGCAAAATGCGAGGTGAACAGAGTAGAAATATACCGAGACATGGGCAAATTTTAAGCTCCTCTACATAAGCAATCCAATTTAGGAAGAAAATAAATTTACCAGCAGCCTCAGATGTTGTGAAGCTGAAACACTTATAACCGCGGAAATTGTTAATGATAGATCAGCCGTTTTTCAGTGTGGCTATTACAGTTTTCAGCGCTAAAGCATCTGAACATCAATTCTGTTTCACCGAAGCTGCCTGTATCTCTAATTCTGCTTTCCGTCGTTTGTTGTAATGCAATGGGTGGAATCCAAAGAGAATAGTCTTTCTGGCCCTTTTGGAACCAATAGTTTGTGTTCATTTCATAAAATAATTTGAACGTGCTTCAAGTGATGGATAAATAATTTACGAATTCGAGCGAGAAGTTGGTCTGTTCACTGAACTTTCCGTCTTGTTTAATTTTCAAATTTTTATAAGGTACATGTATTTGCCAATATTTAACTTCGGGTTAAGACTATTAACAATAATCGAAATTTGATGAAGAATTTTGAAACTATGAAAAGAACATTTGAAGAATTAATGTTATATCAAAAAGTCTTAGCTTAAGGTTATGACGTCAGGTAAATTTAAGTTACATTATGAACCTAATCGCTGCCATATTGAATCGCCACCTCGGATTTCCAACAAGTTTATAGAATAGGCCGAACTGGTTACTAGTCAAATTTAAATCAATAGGTAGATGCTAACTTGATCGTAATTCCACGTAAGATTTAATGCATGAGATTTAGACTTGTTTACCGTAGATTCAATATATACTTACGTTTGAAAGAGCGAATTCAGGTGACCATGCTTTTCAAAAAATTGGTGCCATATGAATGTTTTGCCCATGTAGTCAGATAAATTTCAGAAAAGTCATGACGTTTGGGCATATTGCTTGAAGGCATTTTTAGCTGGAAATATTAAAAGTCTGGAAAGACTTTTCGTCCTCTCCTGATCAGGTTTGTTAGTGGACAGATACTTGCAATGCGATATGAAAGGGGCTAGGGCACGGTTGCTCTCACAAAATATGTCCCTCATCAGAAATAGTTAATATCCACTTTTGGAAATTTTCCTCGAAAAGGAGTTTAATAATTCAAATCCTTTAAGGTTAATAGATTCAGGAGCGATAGATACATCTGGAAATAGGCCATGAAAATAGACTCTTTTCCAAAACAAGGGTAAATTTTATCCTTTTCTTCCTTTTTTAAAGAAAATAAAAATAAAGAAAAAGGAGATAAAATTTATTCATTTGTAGCATAAGCTACAACTGTCCTCCATATGAATTATGCTTCCTTACCAAGGTTTTTCCACACACCCCTGGACAACGTCGAAGTTGATGATAGAAGGAGGTTCTATCAGGGCTCTCCGCACTCCACGAGAGGACCAGTCTGAGAAAACAGCCGACCTTTCACGGCGCCACTAATGGTTTCCCCACTTAATGACGTCTGAGCAATGCAACGACTGCAGAAATTCTATACTGATGAGGGTAGTGCTTCTGATTGGTCGTGTCGCGAGAGAAATTTACTTCTACCAATCAGAAGCACTACCTAGATCTCGGTAATGAACGTCATCAGTATGGAATTTCTGCAGGCACTACTCAGACGTCATTTCGCGGGGAAACCAGTGGTGACCTCGTTAAATGCCGGTGGCTGTCTTCTCAGGCTACTAGAGGACCACCCTTTGCAAAAATCTCCCGATGTAAGAAAGATTAAAACAACGCTAGAGATCAAATTTTTTTCATATTTTTATTTAATATTTACTCTATAAATCCGTGTTCAGTCTAAACTATTGCTGCTCAAACTCCCAAACCTTACGTTTCTAAAAGATTTCCACCCCTTTGTTTGATTCAATAAATAACAATTACTTTTAATAGTACAATATATCCTCTTTTTTTCAAAAAGTATCTTAATTTAGTCTTGCCCTACTAACAGGGCTCTAAAATTCTTGTACAAAACTTTATACTACAAACATACGTTCCTCTAAGTGTATTTAATCAATGTTAAACGATGTCCTGTGCTTTGCTCTTTGCAAAATGTAACGGCTCAGCTGATGGGAGATGTCTTACAAAGTTTGAGTAAAATCGAAGAAGTTGAAATGTCAAATATCGCATGCATATTCCAGTAAAATTAGTCATTATTATATGATATTATGATGCTTTGAGGCACATGGTATTTTTGGTAGGATCTATTCGTTTCACTCCCAGAGTCAATCAATAAGACACAAGCGCGACCACTGAAATGTTGGTGGATCTGTGCATGGTACTGTTTGATTTTCAGTATTTTCCATTTCCATGGGACGGATTTCCACTAGCATCTACACTTAGAGATCTTTGCAGTGAGTGCAGATAGCATAACTGACTCAACTATCCGAAACTGGGAACTCAACGAACAGGCCCTCACTTGTAGGGGCAATGAGTGCTCCACATCTGGAGCTTTTTTTCTTTTCTTTTCAAGTGAAAAGCTGATTTAAATTTTCGATAGAGTAAAATTACTCAAATTTCGTACAAAAATTGAACAGCGGACGATCATTTAGATAACACGACATTCGCATATGAAAAGATGTCTAATTGTTTAAAGAGCATAAAAAGTCTTCTGACGTTCACACGTGTTACACCGCATCGCACTATTCCTTTGCAGAATTTTATCATCTCTTTTTACAAAGCCAACATTCTGCCATTAGAGAACTTGCCTAGGTTCTAAGAAGAAAAAATAATTTATTCCAATCCTCTTGTTTTATATTTTATATGATTTAAAACATTAACAAACGATACAAACGCAAAGGTCGAAATTGAAAGAAAAATTGGAAGACATCTTGGTCAACCTTGAAATAGTAGACGGTTCCGAAAGGCGACTTTTTTAGAAACAAGTCACTTTTTCTTGATAATGAGTATTTAGCCAAGAGAACATGTTTTCTTGATCCTTTTTGGTTCAAATATTTACACTATTTACACAAACGATTTACACGAATCTCTATAAATACGCTGTTCTGAATGAAAACTTGTTTGTTGTGGCATTTCTGTCAACATCCAATCTCCGTAGTACTTTTTCTCCGGAGCTCTAAACTCCTGGCAAACTTCAACGGGGTATCTATCAATCCCAAGACAATCCGGGCAGTCACAAGAACCGTTGTCCCTTACTAAAACTCTCTCTACATTGTTGATCACTCTAACTGGTGAACAATCGCTGGCAGAATTGTTTCCAGACGCCGAATCAAGTTCAGATATCTCCCCGCATGTACAACGTGGGACGCGATCTGCGTCACAAAGAAATTCCGTCCTTCGTGTCTTTTTCCTATGTGATGATCTACTTTTGTCTTTTCGTACTCTTTGATTCTGACATCCTTTCAAAGGCTCGCTACTAGAAATCTCGTAGTCTAGAGGAGACGACGTTCCCGTGGATCTTAGCGTGGACTCCGACGTGCTTGAACTCCCGCTGGATGGTGGAGGTCGTCGTTCGTGATGATGACGCAGCTTCGTGAACACAATAAAAAGGAGTATACCAATGACCAGTACCGCAAAGATGAATACTACAAGAAACGTTACTTCTTTTTTGCCTAACGTTTTTCTTTTGTATGGAATAGGCGTCGGTGTCGGCTCTCCTAGGGAATGACGAGAAATAGATAATTATTACTGTCAACAGTGAAAGGGAAATTTCTTGTATCGCTTGCAGATCTGACGGAAGTTTTGGGTTGGTATAACAGGGGCACCCAACGACAATATAGCTCAAACCCACTTAAACATAGCATTGTTAAACGTATTTTAGTATTTAAACGGTAGATATAGGCATATTTTATCCCCTAAAATTTTTTTATCTGTTCGGATTTTCTAGCTGAAAGTCTAGTGATCCGAAATTATAGCGATCAAAACTTACCTTTTCGAAAATTTCAACCAGAAAAAAGGCTCCCAAAAATTCTAGGTGACCTTTTTACGGTACAAATCCGTTAAAAATGGGCAATTATACCATTTTTAGATGTTCGAAAATCCTAGGAGAGGCAGGCAAGCAAGAAATTTTACAACAAATGTTCCGAAAATTCTAGATCTCAAGTCGTCTTCTGAACAGATATTTTCGAAAAAAATGACGTTGGTGCCCCTGGTATAATTAGCGATCTTAGGGAAAGGATTTTTGGGCGAAGCACCTCAACTGGAAATGAGGCCTTTTGCTTTCTAATATGCCTTGACGCTAACAAATTTGTATTGCTTGGTGTCTTTACTTTTACAAAGGGGATTTGCCGAAACATTCGGGCGCAACCACTGCTCAAGAATGCAAAAACCACTTCCGGTCGACTTGCGTTGCTCAAAAACGTCTTTGCTTATTGAAGCTCTCTATTGTTGGGTTAGGGGAGAGGTAGTTGAACAGTTTTTCAGAATCTTATACTGATCCCAAATATCCACACTCAAATTCTCCAAACTGATGTCCATTCATTTCCTTAGAGAATTAGTTGAGAGAATTTGTGAAAAGATCAAGGCATTTTCCCTCAGGTGACCGTTTTCAGTAATTCTCAGGACCGTTTCTTTTGATAAATTTTTAATACTGTTGGGAGAAAAGTCATGTTTGTAACTTTTGGGACTTTAAGGGTAAAGGCACTGTTTACGCAACACTGGTGTGAATTTTGTACCGATGTGGCTTGATAATTTGAAAACTCTGTGAGAGGACTCGTTTAGCTAACTGACACATATCACTTAAACAAATTTCAAATAGGACATACATCCATTGTGTTAATCGTTCCAATCTTCCAGTAGACCCATTTTTAACCGAAATGGTTGGAAAAACCGCATTTGCACGTAATTGGTTCAAAACGCAAACCAATAATGTTAAAAGAGACTTCAAAATGAAAGAAGTTCCTGGAATAAAACCTTACGAGATTTCTGATAAACTGCTAGATTCTGCTTGCAATTTGCGTCATGTATACAAGTGAATCAAAGGGAGAATTTGATCAGAAGACGCCTGTAGCCTTATTCCACACACCCCTTCATTACTGTTGTCTGGGTCTGTTGTGGCACAGTGACTCCACCCCAAACCACTTAAAAAGGCAGATTCTTTCTTGTGGTTTCTTATAGAGTTCCTGTTTCACAATATAACTATGTGACCCAATAGACAAAAGAGCGGAAGTGTCAGAGTTTTATGCAGTATCCTTTCACGAACGGTGGATGATCAACAGACTGTCATTTGCGGTTTCCGCGCGTAAGGGTTCCTTGTCTGACTTTTGCTTCGATGTTTTCTACGGGGTCAGTATTGAGCGGTAAGTAACATACTTGCTTTTTTCCTACCTTTCTGAGTTCGTGGGCGAGAAAGACCACGAGCATTTACTTTATTTTCCTCAGATCCTAAGAGCGAGAGGAAATCTATTAATCGTGGATGTCAAAGCCTCCTTCTCGCGCCAAAGGCAAACTGGGAAAAGGAAGAGACTGCTCGCAGTCTAATTAAATAAGTGGTTAACTCGGATCAGTAACTGACTACCTACCTCTCCCATAAGTCAATATTAACACTTACTTCTCCCTTGGCGCAAAATTGTGACTTAGGGAGGGGAAGGTGGTCAGTTACCCGGAAACCTCAATTGCTCCTAGCCTGCGAACACAGACGTTTCTCCTCGCGAGGAGAAACGGCTGTTTTTGTGGGCTACAAATGCTCCGAGCTCTCCACTTGAAAGGAATATTTGTAATTGCTGCGAGCAGAGATTTGACCTCCCATGTACACCTTACCCGTCTCCTTCATAACGGTATTTGGGTGTATCACGCAAGTCTCTCGGGGTGAGCGTGACAATGAGGGATAGTGTGACGACCCCAGACAATATTCTTCAGGTAAGTAGAAACGCGACTTACTTTCTGTTCTGTATGAAGCCGTAAATCCCCTTCGTGTACCATTGGTCCAAATACCGTTGTGCTCGTAATATATGTACAGATTGTTCCCCGTGGATATTATCGGCTCTTTGTATTTATCATCCTTAATGACGACTATCTGTGGTGCACTAACGTCTTTTCCATCACGGATTATTATTGAGTCTCCATTCATTTTCAGTGCGTCAAACCACAGCCTCACCCTACTTCCCTCGGGCAAGTTGATCACCCACTTGCATTTGGAAGGCCCCAAGCTTGGTAATATCTGCGGCGATGACGTGATCATCCCTTGAGGTTTCTTTAGTATGCATCCACAGGAACACGAAACTGGTGAGCAATTCATAAGTATTCCAAATTACATGTTTAAGGTACTATTCATTCCCAGAAGAGGCTACAGTCAACATTAAAAATTCCAAGTTTCGTTTTGTGAAATGCTGAGATACAAGTTGTACCACGTAAAAGTATTACAAGAGAGGTCTCACTCGAATAGTAACACTGAAATTTGTTCCTTGTATTAAACTAACCGAAAGCATATTTATCTTTCCTTTGAAACAATGTTGAGATGTGGCCATGAAGCGCGTAAGTAACGGCATAGCATGACATATCAGTGTTAAATAGCCACCCTCTGTAATACCTTGATAAAAATAACAAACTCAAGGCTTTATACAGTAAAACCCCGCAAGTAAGATCCCGGTTCTTAAGAACCTGTTGGGCTAAAATTTGCCAGTTAGGTCCTCTCTTTACAAGAACCTGCTTAGCCTAAAATTTGAAACAGGTTCTTATTTTCTAAAATCTATAAAAATTGTAGTTCTGTACACCTGGGCAAATAAGATAGTCAAGATTCAAGATCCTCTTTCAAGGCATAGGTGCCTGATCTCTCCAACTGCAATATAATGGTATGCAGATTTTAAAGGAATAAGGTGAATACCACTAAATTCGAACTAAATACTCTTAAGCTACAATGTATTTCTTCTTCAGAAAATAAGAACCTCTTCTTAAGAACCTCAATAGCCTAAAGTTATGCTAATTACCATTTTGTAAGACCATGTTTGGACAAACGTAGGAAAATGCAGGTTCTTACTCACAGTTTTTGACTGTATTCAACTTGGTCTATTGACATACCTGGACAGGGGCTCGGCGCACATGACCTGGACATCAGTGAGTTACCCTCACAAGAAGACTCTTTGTCTTGGGTCGTGCTGACACTCAAACAGTAGCGAAACCTATGCTGTGTTCCCTTACCGCATGAGCTCGAACACCAGCCCCAAGGCGACCATGAACTCCAGCCAACGTGATGCTGGTTTCCTATAAAAAAAAGAAAGTCAACATCAATTTTCTCCTTCCTACATCAGCAGATCATCAAGAGTAAAGGTTATGAGAATTACTAAATTGATTACCAAAGGAAGAATGCTTTGGTCTTAAACCAGATTCTCTCAACTATTCTTAACAGAAATGTCTGGAGATCAGTCCGGAGAATTTGTATTTGGATCTTGGGTCTTAAAGGGTTAAAGGACCGATCGTGTTTCTGGAAAACGGCAAGCACTAGGCTCAAAACCACTAGACATCAGGTACAAGAATAAGGCAGCTCTCTTGGGCGGGAAAGGGGGGGAGGGGTTGGTGGAAGGCAACGGACAACAAACGTTTTCCGACATCTCATTGGAGAATCTCAGTTGTTATAAATATACCATAGTACAACAACATATTTCTACATTTATCCTAAAAGTAAACTTTTGCTTAATCCGAAATAAGGGACGATTTAGCTGACATTCTACTGTTATGTTGTTAAAAGTGAGCAAATTTTCGCATATTCATTTAGAAGGCCCCATTGGAAGCTTCATTCGAAACGACTTTGGCAACTTCGCTCTTCATTAGTAATTGGGAAAACAATATGGATTATTTATTGGCAAACAACTGCTTATCAAGTGCCAACAAAATGACGTACGAGAAATGCTTAATATTGCGTGGCACTTGGCTCTCTTGTTCAAAACGACCGTACATTTACTGTGTACGTGATATTGGTGTTTTTCATGCACAGAGTGACCTTAACTTCCATTAGAAATGACCTTGCAATTATTGACATTATTGATTTCCAAGACGGAGGGGTGATGCAATATTCTATTTAAGCAAGAAAGACATAACATTAAAAGATTCAGCTGATTTATCAGTCCACAGGAACATCTTCTTATGCCAATTTGAAGTCAGTATTCAGGCAGAACAAGAATATCCCTGATTTCAACGTCATCAGTTTCGAAGATTTTCTTCGTTTGTTTTTTCTTACAGGCGTATAATATTTGCTTGTATTGTGGTTGTTTAATAGAGAAAATCAAGATGGCTAGACGTCAAACAAAAAACATCCTCCAGGCTTTTTATGCAGGGCGGACGAGTGAAAAAGAAAATAGCAAATAATTTCTAATTAAGGAAAATGGAAACATTCACCTTTTTCAATCTTTTTAGCCTCATCTAATTACTAAATCTCTCTTGAAATTCTCTCTGTCGATCTATTTCTCCTCTCCCTTGGGTACAAGTTACCCAGTCATATAATAACAGGTCATTTGAAGATGATTTATAACCATAATTATGTTTCCCAACGTAATTACTCTCATTAAGTTATTTTTAGTGAAAATTTAATGTGACATTTATAGGAAACCTTATTTCGACACTTGTCCAAAACTGAAAGCTCAAAAACGCTCAAATAAGAAATTTAAAGCAACGTCTCAGAAGTAATCAGGAATTGCTTTCCTTTCTCTCTTTTTTTTATCTTCCGATTACGCCATTACGTGTACCACAAGACTCAAGTGTTTTGTCTAATCTTATGGAGACGTTTTAGGCACTGGAATATTCGTCGCTAAATTAATGAGCCGCGTGACTTTCTCCTAAAAAATAGGTGCAAAAAAGAAGTACGTTCAAATATCGCAAGAGGTTAAGACTTTGTCACATGGATAATCACCCGGTGTTTTTTATGTTACTAAATATTCTGCACTTTATTATATACTTAATTCCTTTAACGGTGATTTCTTAATGTTGAACAATGATACTGCTTCTAGAATCTCTAAATTTCAAATTTATGAAAATAACAAATTCCTTTTGCCAACCTACTGAGAAATAAACAACGGCAATTAGCTTTTATGAGAGCATTCACACGATAGCCTTGCTGGGATTGTAAAGTAGAACAGTTAAAAACGAACCACATGTCACAAGGGTTGTATGAACAGGCAAAAGCGCTTTCGACAACGGTATTAAACAATGAAAAAAAACGAAAAAACTGACATTAACGTAGTAAACAGTCCAAATATGAGGAAAGAAAAACTTCTCATTGTGGTGTCCCACATCAGATCTTCATGCATGCAACACTTCTTAACTGCAGTTACGGGAATTTATAATTTACTATGTGTTTTCGTACACTCTTTTAGCCCGCTTTGGTAAGGGTAATCTTAGTTACACTTCCATTAACGATGCGGTAGAAGGGCCGCCCGCAAGACTTTTAAATGGATTAAAAGATAACCTATTTTCGTGGGCATAGCTTCTCTGATTCGACGTAAACTGATTAACTTGCAGATCAGCCGTATTGACTCGTTCAAAATAATCATTTACAGATCTTGCCGACAATATTTATCGTATGGAAATCTCTACGCGACTAAAAGCTTTTCGTCTATCGAAAAAAAAAAAAAACAGTTCTATGAATGACATATTTGTGGCTCGCATTGAAAGTGCTAATTTATCACGCGTTTGCAATTTATTTATATCCTACCCAAGAGAAAGGACAAAAAGACCAAAGCCATGTGGAAATAACACGAAACTTTAAAATTCTTCATAGATTCGTTTCAGAATTCATTTATACTAAATTTTTCAGCTAATTTTATGAAAGAAAAAGAGAGGGCCTTTGGAGTTCTTCGGCCAGTACAAATGTTGTATTTGTGAAAACAAGAATATAATATTGGCAGCAAATAAGGGCGCCAGTATGTCTCGCCTTAAGTGTACGGCTTACCCACCTCCTTTCAAAACCTAAAATAGCTTAATAGCAAAATCCTTTTACCGGAACTTTCTAAGCAGATTGAAAGTCTTCAACGTGGACGCCTTGAAAATCATTTCGAACCTGGATAACATATTTCAGTTACTCATGTGTCGCTTTTAAACGTTTTCAAACATTTAAAAAGAAGACTCTGAACTAAACTGAAGGTTTTATGACAGTGTTAAAAATTGTTAATGCAACCAAAACACGTGCGTGTTTCTCGTAACTTAGGAATACGGATTTATTATTGTATATGTCTATTTGATATTTATTACATAACGTGACACGGCAGAAGAATTGAGTTGCTAAGTATAAAACAAGGTCACGAAATCGACACGGCAGTTTTGCTGTCAGGAAATCATCTATTGATGATAGGCTTCTGACAGGACGTCTTGAAGTGACGCGAAGAAGACAAAATATACCTATAAAAAATTATTCAAGGAAACAAAAATACAAAATACCAAGAACTTAAGCAAGAGATAACTTCAATGAAAAAAATTCAGTTTCGTCTTGGTCTACGATGGCTTATTTATTTTCTCAAGTTCTGTAAAAGAACTGAATGTGGGTATAAGAAAGACTTGGACATTTTACGCCTGATGAACACAGTGCCTCCAGGTGTTTAGGTTTCTGTATTTTGAGAGGCCAAAATTAAAAGTGGAACAACATAGTCAAAGAAAATGACTTCCTTGCCATACTTTAACCTTTCATCTGCAGATTCGAAAGTTACAACCACCTGGAAGGGGCTTAAAATCGCTAAACAGTAATTCCACAAAAAAGGAAATTGCCAAATGTTCAACTCCACTCAATAATTGAGTTACGAGGCCACATCCATGATTTTCCATAGCAAGAATTCAAAACATGCAATGCCTACAGACTTTTTGGTGCTAAAAGGTCCTTTGCATGAAGTAGTGAGTGTTTCGCGAGTGCACCATGTAGCATTTCGACCATATTTGGTAAAGATAATGTTCGTACTGAGAGAAGAGCAACGTATTTTCGGCAGGAAATAGTCACACTTCACTATTATGTAAGATGGCTAAAACATTTTACTGTTTCTCCACCTATAATCCTCTGATATAGTGATAACTTATTTTCACACTTGAAAATTTAGGCTTTATTTGATGTACAAGTCGATTAATGCTTACATTCACAGGAGAACTTCCTTTTTTCTAAGTAGGAGTTAATTTTAAATTTTAAAATGCCTCCTTAAACTTCACATTACAATTATTTTCATCTAAATCTCTTGATGCAAGGCATGCCACAGCTGGCTAATCAGTTGACATTCCAGTTTCAATTACACTTAATCCCATTCAAATTATTTCTGCTCTCCTCCCCCTGCCCTTCTCACAGAAAAAGATCAAAATATGTCCGGTTTATAACAATCAAAACTAACTACTATTTTGATATTTCAAAGTGAGAACTGCACTGCCCAGTCAACCGCATGATAGAAAAGACATTTTTCTGAGGAAAATAATTTTCATTTCTTTCACTATTGCGTCAGAAACGTCTATGCAGTAAGTGATATCACAAGGCAACATAAGAAAGTCGGCAGGATCAGGAATTTTAAATTCAGTGGAATATAAGATCAGTAGCTTATTCGTTTTTCTTACAAGCCGCCATTTTGTTGGTGCTGATTTCTACCGCGTCATAACTTTGACGCAACGCAAGTTATAAACCAACGGAATCGGTCAAAAGCCAACACATAAAAGAGCTAGTTTCCAAACAAAATTTCTGAAAAACAGTTTTCGTGATTAGTCGTTGATTAGAGAGGTGTGATCCGTACCACAGAAGCGACTGTAGACACCTTCTTAACCATCTTGACTTTTTAAAACAGTAATGCCCCGGCTTAGCAACTACAGTATCGTACGGGCCATAAGAAGAAGAAGAAGAAGAAGTGCCTTAGTTGCCATACATTCTTTAGTAACCTATTACATAATTGCAAGGCAGGAGATCAAGAAAGCTCTATTGAGCTTTTGGACGATCTCCGCTTGACAATTATGACAAGTCAAAGCTGATACGGTTTAACTACAGCTGATACCGCAGAAGGTGTAATAGTAATATTTATATCAAGCACTGGATGTACAGATAAGGTTGTGAGAATATTTTGTGGAATTGACAGACAATTCGCCGGATTTAAAGACTGACAGCCATAAAATGATAAATGAACTGTCTGTTATCCAGCAAGGGCAGAGATAAATACCCTAATCCCTGCCTTAACATAAACAAGTGCTGTTTCTACTAGTATAAGAACAATTGGTGATCTTGAAAACCCATTTGCGCCAATACAATAAACCAGCCAGACGGCAGAATATTAAATTTAACCGTTTTTAAACCTAACACAGTTCGGCCGCAGAAAAGACGAAATCAACTGTCAACATTCATCAGAGCAGGGATTCTAAGCAGATTACAGTTTTTCTAAAATAATCATGGAATGTTACAGAACTAAACAGGAAAAGCAATAAAAGGACCAGACGATCGAGTTTATGTAAGAACTTCCTTCCATTCCGTTTAATTAGGAAATGTTTCCAATTGTTGCTCCAAAAGCTACAGCAGGAAACTGATCTACGAAGTACAAACAAATACACATTTTACAGACAAGGTGGCTTAAATATCCGTAGCCACTTCAAAAAAGACAGAGAAGGATTAATTCCTAAAATATTCAAGGTTTGTGCAAGGCGGCCGCTGAAATAATCGAAAATAACCTTAAATGACCGGACTTGAACAAATACAATAGGACTGCAAGTGGATAAGCTAGACTTGTCAGTAATGTCTGACTTGGATTTGGTTTGTTCTTCGTGTCACGCTCAAGTAGAGCAAAGATCAATTTTTAATCTTAACATTCTTGGGCAGATTATTATGATCCCGACAGGTAGATGGCCGCAAAGACAACAATAAAGTACATGCCTACACGAACTTTCCGTGGAGTGAGAAAATCAAGAGGAAAAGCCAGAGCTAGCGCAGCTTTGGTTTACATCCCTAAAAAAATTGATAGCGTCGTTTTAGAGTCGGTTCTCCAATTCAGTTGGGAAAAGACAGAAAAAAAAAAACAGATATGTCAAATTAAACCGATAAAAAAAACTGACCGTGACTGAATTGCTTTTTAAATGACAGTTTCACTTTGCTTCGTCCTTTCTTGTACGCATTAACCCTTTCACTGCCAAATGTGGCCAAAGGCAAATTTCGACCAAATTTCCAAATTTCATGTTCTAAAATTTTGACAAACAAATAGCACCACATGAAAGTACAGGCGGAGAGCTTTCATTTGAATGGTCACATCATGGGATTTCGTCACCAGACTCAAAAGTTAGAGTCATCTTACAAAACTCCACCAAACACTCTGGCACTGAAAGGGTTAAAGCGACGGAAATAGAACTACAACGTGCTGTTCAAATGACAGCGCTTTCCTGAAAGCTTGGCACGTCTATACAGTTTTGGACTTACTATAAGTCCAAAACTGTATAGACCTGCCAAGTTTTAACATTTTGAATATTTCCCTTCCCGTGTACTTTGACTTGTTGTCCGATGATCGACTGAAAGCTATTCTAATCCATCGCGGGAGACGTAATTGAATGTTGAGTCAATATTTGGAAATAAAACCTTTTGTTCCAGAATTCCGCCTTGTTGTAGTCCTGCTGGTCAGGTTAGTTTGTCTTTTGTAAACGACAACAAAGCTATTCTAAAACATACACAATAAACACTTGTCATCGGCCCGTCGACGTCACTGCACCACACAACTTTTTCTCTGTTTTGCAAATGAATGTAACCAATTATCGGCTAATTTTCCTTTTAAATTTCCATTATGAAGCGAAAACATTAACAGGTTTCTTCTCGCGTCGTGTCGTTCAAAAGTGCTAATTGACGTTTAATAGTTCATCCACGCCTCAATCCGTTTCCTTCCTCTCCCACCATTCTCACTTCATCTGTTTGCAATTAACACTACAGGTGAAATCTGAACTGAATCTCCACTTCAACTCTCTGCCTCGGAGATATACCTTCACCTTGGCAGTATAATATTTTGTTTACAATACGGAAATGCTCAAAGAGATAATTCAAGTTGACTTAATATTTTTGAATGTTTTTTGACCAGCAAAACCAATGTTTCAGCAATGTTTCAGATCGTTCTGTGTCGAGCAAAGTTGCCATTTCCAAACAAATTTGTTTGAAAAGCACTTTCATTCATTTTGCGATCGTACAGAACTCAAGGTTTCGCGAACTCTTGATTTCATCCGTATCTTTAGAATGTCCTGTAACGGCGCTTTAAAAATTTGTCTTCATTTGAAACATTTATCGACTTAAAATCCAAGCCACAGACTTTTAAAAATAATTTATACTGGAATAGGAAAACTGTGGTTCCCAAAGAAGCTCAAATCGTTGCTGTGTTTTCCAGCAGTTACTCCTGTCTCGATAACATTATAGTTATTAATCAGAGATCAAAGACACAAATAATTACGTTTCTACATCAAAGGGCTTGTAAATTGTCGCTGCTAACCAGTTTTTTGCTAGAGACTAGAGGGCAGTGCGTAGATCGCCTTAAGTGGGTTATAACTATTGAGTCTATGTATGAAAGATTGACGAATGCGCTATGATAGCGTGCTCTTTGCAGTACGTCGGCTAAAAATAAGATTTGGAATTAGTTTCCTCTATGAGCATACCTGGTGGGTGTGTTGGAAGACACATCGAGGCCACCTTGATTTTGCTCCTTGTTAGGCTAGAATCAGTTACATAGTCGAAGCAATATTCTTCCACGTAGTCTTTGAATAGCGTGCAGGGGAAAAATGTTGCTGTATGGTCCTGCTCAACTGGTTTTTGCATGATGCTTTTATCGGAATTTTTTTCGCGTACTGATATGACGTCGTTGGTCCTTGCATAGGGGCATTCGGGGCGGGTGAATGAAACTGTAAACGCGTTTGAGCACGGGAATATTTTGTTGGTGTGAGATGACAACGTTCTGTGACCCCAATTCACATAAACAACCTCGCTTTTGGCTAGTGTCAAGTTTGCGATGCCAGCCTGGTACTCAAAACGGTAGCTACCTTTGGTGTCGAAAACGTCACAGGTAAACCCCATTTTGAGCCACGTTTCTTGAGGAAATTTCTGCTTGCCATTTGCCAGTTTCCGAACGTACTTTCGGGTTACAAAAATCTTCTTGTGACCTTTTTCGTAGTACAGATTAATCCTGTCGCGGTATGTCTTGGGTAAGCACTTTCGACGGTGTCGAATCCAGATGCCGAATCGAGTTAAGGCGGTATGGTTTGTCGGTGAGTCGATGAACACCCTATCCCGCTTTAAGCTCAAGGTCTGCGGGATAAACGCTGCATATTCGGTAGATTCGTTGTGTGAAACGCGATACTTGAATTTGTACAATCCTGGGTGGTCGAATACTTCGCAAGGCAAAATCACAGCAAATTTAAAACTATCCAAGGGGACACGTTCTGTATGAAGTCTTCTGTTTGTTCTGTTATCGTACACAATAACACTTAACGTTCGTTGAGAGGAAAGTGAAGAAAAATTTTTGGGAATATGGAAGTACAAAGTTACATTGCCCGCAAGAATTTCCGAAAAACCTGCAGATAAGTCCACTGATAGACCATCCAGGGTTCCCTTTCCAAATTCTTTAGTGCCTTAAAAAAGGGAAAAATACACATTAAGAAGAAAAAAAACCACACGATTTTCGTTGCCTTAACCTCAATATTTTTTCGCATGACTGCCGTGTTAACTTGCGTCTGGCAGATCCTATGTCTTTCGCTGGTGGTAAAATAAGCGTAATTTACATTAACTACAGTTTAAACGTTCTTTTGTCAACTGTTATGGAACGACGATTGAAATGCGACCCACCACAATTAGTCAAGACTGGCTATGCTTAATAGCCATTACAGACACGGTTGAACTCTAAGTGAAAGCCATCGCGTTCGGTTAGAGCCGTTGGAAAAGATCAAGCTGTTCGCAGCGGCTTTATGAGCGAGACTACATTACAGTTCTCTCCCTTGACCATCGATTGTAGAAGTACTGAAAGCAGATATCCTTACCTTGTGCTTGTGATGAAAGGACGCCGGAGGCAATTAACAAACCGCATAACAGCATCGAGCATGTTTCCATCGCTCTTTTTTCTTCATGGAATGTGTGTTGTGCTGAAATGGAAATGAACTGAATGAGCCAAGGGCACAAGGCTTGAAGCTTATATCTTCCCGCGATATGCGCCCGCTCACAGTCTCTCCACTGCCAACGTTTGCTTAAAGCATTTACGACATATAATTAATTGTCCACAATTATATTGTTACATTGTGCTGTTATAGTTAATTAAGATTCGGCCCTGTTGTGCTCTTTGAAACCCAAACAATGACCCAAACTACTGCGCCAATAATAGACTGCTAATTTGCGCTATACAGAAGCTCTACAGCCCAGCAGATGGGAAAAAAACATCGACGCAAGATGGAGGACTAACTGTACGCGTAATCTTACTGATGAAAGTGTTCATTGTGAACGTATTGTCCTGGGCGCGCGGGAGGTCGCACAGCTTTCATTCTGACCACGGTTTACCTCCAACCGGCTTAGGATGTTTACTTAACGGATTTTAACCTCTTTCGTCTGCGTTTACAGAACAGATCAACGAGTAAAGGCCAAAAACTATGCCCGTGATCTAGAAGCTGTTGATATCAGCAAACGCAAAATCTATCCCTCTTCTCTTATCGTTTGCATAAATTAAAACCTTGCTATGCCATTTTGTATGCAAATTCCTTTTTTTCTTCTTAAGTCGTTTTTCACACATCTGCCAAAACGGGGTGAAAATTGCTTTTGCTCTTAACAGAACAGCGATAACTAGCTAACGATATTTTCCCAGGTTCATTCGGTGTTTTGCGGCCAACGCAATAACAATGTTAACAACTACGACGAGAAGCAAATTCAACAATTTCTTCCGCGCTGACAAATTTCCTGATTGAATATTCTGTTTTCACAGTAATTACACCACAACAATACACTTCCCTCCCTAAAACCGCCCCTGTGTTTAGTTTTCCAATAAGACACGTGTTGTGATGCATTGAAATTGTCAATCCAAACCCTTCATGGTTGGTTGCTAAATCTATGACGTTGGCCGTCAACATAATCAGTACAGTTATGTCTGAAAAATGAATGCTTTCCCAAAACATCCGTGCACATCATCATATAAATTTTGTCCTCCTTTTAATAACAGCTTATAAACTTACGGGTACACGCCAGATTCAAACCATACTTTCATGTTCGGTCTTTTGCTATCATCGACTTAAAAAAGATTTTTGGATTAATGCGCGTCCTTGCCTCCACTTAAAATCGTTGCAATAATTAAAATGTTTCATAGGATTACGGAAATTTTGCATGGTAAATCGTAGCAAACTTGGCCATTGTAAATATGTAGAATTGTTATAAACAAGGCGGAGCTGAAAAACGAGTTCCATTCTCCCATTTACCAAAACACAGTACATCATCGGGCTACAAAAAATTAATAAATAATATCGGATTGCATGCATGTCTCGCAGAAGGTCACGGAGACTAAAGTGCGAACAATTCGAGCAGGAAAGTTTTGGCTATTTTAATACCAGCGCCCGAGATCTCTGATAATTCAATATTTTCTTATGCTTTCTACTAATTTGACTTCGGTCGATCTTTCTAATAATACCCAATAATAAACAACCCAGACGCAAAGAATGGCAAATAATTTCACAGCTTAGCGTCAGTCGAAATTAAACAGCTTCGGGCAAGCACGCAAAGGTCCTTCAAAATAAACATAAGGCTCTCGGGTGCTGATACATGTCGCAATTTCGAAACGAGCGAAAAGGAAAAATTAAGATTTCTCGATGACATGAGCGCATTTTACAGCGCAAACTGACTTGATACATGAACAAATTTACGCCTGCCTACCTGACCAAACACAGCAAGCTTTCGCCGTAATCGCTTAATCCGCAAATGATTGTTCGCTGTATTTACACTGACTGTTGTTCTTGGGACTGGCTTTACCTTTGCTGATATGTTTTTCACACAAGCGTTGCGTTCTCTAAACCGCATTGACGATGCATATCGCGAAAGCGTCGTCAACTGGAACTCGTCCTTATATTGGAAGGTATTACGCGCTGAAGTTCCTAATGCGTAGATGTCCACTCGGATCTGCTACCGGAAACATGCCGCACGCTACTGATCAGACGTGTATCTTTCATGTCTTATATTTTCCATTAGATAAGAGTGCACGTGGTCTACTTATCATTTGGGGTACTGATTTACATCAAAATATCCCTTGTCTACATTTGACAACAAGGCGTCAAGGCAAAGTACATTGAAAGTGACAGTTGTATTGTGTTTTGATGAGGTGGGAGGCGAAGTTTAAAAACTTATCCAATGAAACAAAAGCAGATCTTGTTATGATGGACGACGTTTCAACAAGGTTTTCGCGAGGGCGTTTTAAAGGAAGCAAGCTTAAGGATCTTCATCACAAATAGCTCCAATTTGCTCCGTTGCTTGAAATCTCCATTTCTCGGTGACCCGATCAGCTGAATGCAGTGGCAAAAAATAGTGACTGGAAAGTGAAATTCAGAATTATTTGTTACGCTTTCACCATAATGCTTTCAATGTTCCAAACTTTTAAGATTACCCTTCTTTCTTTAAATCATTGTAGATCATTTTAGTATTTTCGAGACCGATCTGAACAGCCACCATGTTTACGATCATGACTACGGGGCTATCTTATAAAAATGTTATTGGAAGCTCGAATTTCTGAAAATGAACGTAAATGTATTCACAAAAAACTTTAACTGAAAGTTTTGTGTTTAGTATAAACAAGAAATACATATTTATTTCTGGACGTTGGACAAGCAGTCAGTTCACAGCAAATTAAACTGTTCTCATTAAGCGAAGATCACACTTTTCCGGTTCAGCAGATTTACTTACGTTTTTGGCTAAACAGTTTTTTTTTGTTCCCACGAAGAGTTAAGTGTATTCGGTTTACGCCAAAAAACTGCAGCGATTGTGAACAATTGTTGCTCAAAATGCACTGGAAATTCGCCAGTACGTTTTACATCAGCTACGGTCTAAAGAGTATATTAAGTGCCAGTGAATGGTTCATTCGGAGATTTGGTAAAGCGACTTGAAATTTCTTTTATAATTGAAGTGCTCTTCTAGAGCCATTTGAGTCAGCCAAGAAGCTGTCAGTTTGTAAAATAAAAAATAGCCACAGCCAGCCAGTCAGTTTGTCCATCAAATATCCAAGTGTTTGTGCGCTACTGAGTGCCAGCGCCATAATGTCTGTGTGGATTACAGACTTGACTTGCTTTTAAGAACTTGTTTCCGAGAAACGAAGTGAATGCCAAGTTCGTTTGAGGCAGCTTTAATTCTTGTCTGTAAAGCTTTTATTCCCACCTGGCGCAGATGGCATGTGCACGAATTTTACAAAACATACTTAAACTGTAAATATTAATATCAGCTCTCTTGGAGACCACAAACCGACAGTAAAACACGGGCACTGAACAGCTTGGAAACCAAGGTCGTCAAAGTAATCTCATTAATGATTTTCTATTCACTGTAGTGGATGTTAATATGGAATAAATTATATCGCTTTAGGTGAATCAAGAGAAATATTTCGACCTTAAATTTCTTAGAGAGAGAGAGAGAGAGAGCAAGAAGGCGAAATTTTTAGCTATTACTGAACTGATTGGCAAGACAAGTAAGCGGTATTTGCCCACCATTCAACCCTAAGCAAACATGTCTAAAACAGTTTAAGTCACGCAGATGAAATACAGTTGCAGACGCAAACTAAAAGCAATATAAGTAAAAGATATATAATTATGAGGATTTACCTTTGTGTCGTTGTTTGTCCTAATTAAATGTAGCTCGCGATAACTTGGCTCGTTTACTTAGTGACCGGCTGCAATGCCCACGGAAATAAATTGTCAATGTCGCTTCGAACGCGTTTAAATCAACTTGCTTGGGATAATTCGCATCTGAACAAACATTACAGCAACCGAACACGACACTAGATAAATATTTTCAGACTGGCAGAGGACTTTTCAGGTTTAGCCTCTTATCCGAAAGCTTTGGCCTTAAGTTTTATAGCGGATGTTTTTAGCCAATGGTTGAAAGGTCTGTGAGACCAAAATGAAGAAAAAAAAAAGTGAATAAAAGAATTGACTTGAGGAAAAGATAATCCGAAGTAAGGGGATTTTTCTTAGTTAGGCCCAATGAGGTTAATTCTGACCGGGTCCTTGATAGTTTTAATTCTATTTCCGGCTTAAAATGGAAGTCTTAAAATAATGGCAAATCATTGTGAAAACAACCATTTGGATTTATCCTCTGTTTTTTCTCTTACAGTTTGATGAACTGTTCCGTGACAACGATGTTGGCACCATTATGTAGATTTCGTAGTTGCCAATTCAGATTGAAATTAACCTTCGTGACTGGAAACAGTGCAATTGGAGTGTAGGTAAGTCTTCGCTTTCAGCTTATCCCACTTTGAAAGGTAATTATTTGAACATTCATGCTGGCAGCCAAAGGAGGTTTGCAATCCTCATCATAGCACTTACTTTTAATCGACAGACTAGACAATCACGCGACAACCTTTTCACTTCAGTGTCGAATCTGTAGAAATGAAATTTAGCTCAAACTTTTGAGCCTTCAGACGGAATCCAATGGTGTGACCATTCAAATGAAGCCTCTTTAGCAGTACTTTTTGCTGAGGTTATTTGTTTTTCGATATTTTACAAAACGGAATTTAGAACTCTTCGTAACTTGTTCGTTTGTCCACTACCAAGAAGTGTGAGAGGGGTTAATCCTAGGCTAAAATCTCTGTGAAACTGTACAGCTTCAGGGGTTAATAAAGGCAGACAGCCGTCCCGAGATAATCTCATAACCATAGCAAATCAGTAGTTTCTAGAAAGAACGTCTTACGACACATATTCGTTTCGCACGATGACAAAAAAGTAGTGCACATAGCAGGAGCCTAGGTAATGTAATAGCCTCCTAATTGTACACGAGCACACGAAAAAACCTAGAACCGTCTTGTTCCGCACAACTTTAACTTTTTATGGCCACACTTAAGAAATTCAAAGACCAAAAAGACTTACTATACCAGGATAAACACTGGCCTTGTGTCTAGATCAGGTTACTGTGAGCAGAAAGACAATAGAGAAGCCTCGCTTCGTTTCCGTATTTGGTTTGCTGCATTTTTGAACATTTCATCAAAAGACTCAAAAGCTAGAATTGTCACTGATTGCATGACTTCATAAGTTTGACTTGGAGATTTAAAGTATTATTTTGGGATTGCAACACTCTAGCCATTAAGATTAAATAACCTTCGTAGAAGAGCTCCGCCTTAGACACGCCAAGCGATTATAAAGGGACAAACGACGATAAGCAGTTTTTGTTTCCAGTTTCCCAAGCCGGAATAAAAAGAAATAAGTTATAAAGCTTTTTTTTTTCTGGTATTTGTTTTTTTGAAGTTTTTTCGCATAGCGTAGCGCAAACAGTGAGGAAGAACGCATTGTTTTGCTGTTCTCGACCAACTCATTTAATATCGCTTGATTACATCAGCCACATCACTTGACCTCAC